ATGGGCCTATTCCGCAGTGAAGGTGTTATTAAGACACTCGGAGAATTTTTCACTCGAAGAAAATTTATCGTTAGTAGTGTTACTAGTGTTTTTCTTTTTTTTTCTACCTAGCCTTGAAAGGCTATTTCAGCTTCACCCTAGCGTGTAGGGGAGCTCTCGGGACTCAAACCGGAAGGGTTGCCAATACTGGCCCCAGCAAGAGCGGTGCTTTGCAGAATCTACCACCGGATCGGAAACGCGACCCACTGAGAAGATCCGGCGAGAAACTCAGTGGGTTTATTAGTGGTAAGTCGTATTATTTACTCACTCTTACTGTTTGGGAATGGGATATGTCTACGGTTAATAGTAGCCGCTACGTACTAGATAAGCTTTTCCACTGATCTACGCTATTGAAGACTCGTTGCCATCAGGAAACATACTGCAATGTTGTAGAATGTCGGTCATGACCTCATATAATTTTATCACGCCATTACAGTGTATGTACATTACCGGTTTATTCTTATTATTATTATTACATCAGACGCAGAATGTTATTTTGAACTGCATAATTTGTCCATATGGCTTTAGATGTGTCGATTATAAAGGACAAAAAAGACGAAAGAAGTTTTATTATTTAATTTTGAAATTGATTTATTTTGATTTAGTGTGTGTAGGAGCTTAAATACTAGACTTTTAACTCGGTAACTCGACGGACCTAATGTTCGAAGATTGTGTGTTACGTAAATTTATTTTAAAATTGAAATTAACGTAATTCAGGTTTTTGCCAGATCTTCTATTCTAAAGTGGACTATAGCTTTTGCTTACCTTTTTATTAATTTACTATAAAACTTATTATATTTACTATTATTGTTATTGTGTACAGTATCCATAAGTAAATTGATTAGATTGTACTTTTCTACCCACCTATGTAAAGCTCACCTTCTTTAAGAACGGTTAGCTGGTAGATAACTCAATTGTTAAGTTAAGCTCGCCATTTTTATAACTTTTCGTAATTATTATATTGTTTTAACTGTGTGTGTACAATAAAGAATAAAGAACATATAAACTTAATCAATAAATAGTTTTAAAAAAACCTTTTTCTTTTTTTATAGGATAGAACTTGATCGATAAATTGTACCGTCTTAATCACATAAGGCACTATAATCCCGTTAATCGATGTTTATAACTTTTGTCCAATATCCTTCTGATATTATAAATGCGAAGAAATAAAAAAAAATTGGATATTATTTACTCAATCGTGCATAATAATTCAAAACCTTTAACAGCGTAAGGTAGTATGAGAGCGAGACATCGCGTAGTGGGTCGATCATATCGATCGCATTAGTACTACGAAGAAATACAGTCGATGGAAGGAATGCGCGTGTAACAACACGCATAAACATTTATAAAAAAAACATAACATGAAGTAAGCTATTATCAGCGTCTGTTTAACCAAATAATTTGCTAATCATTAACGTAAATTAGACCTTAAAATCGACGTGTTTAAATGCTATTACAGCTTGAAGCTTTCTGATTGCTGCATGATTATCGTGGTTCCGGAGCACCGTAGCCAATTCGCATGCAGGCTGTGACGATAACGATGCCTTTTGCAACACGATATTATCGACATGTGGCTAAAAAGAATTATTTAATACTACATACTTTACATTTGCGCATCGAATTTAACGATATTTGAATACTGCCTTTAAAAACCTTGAATAAAGGGCAGATAGATTTCTTTTTCAACCACAAGTTAAAATCGCCGAGTTCATAGTCGAAAGTGAAGTACAAAAACCTCGGATACTCCGAATAAATATCAAACAAATAGAACCCTAATTTGGTCACGTCAATTTGCTCGGAAGCACGAGCGTGTTCAGTGTGCATAGTGCGAGTTTTTTAACGTTCTCGATAGCGTAAAAGTTAACACAAATTTGTACATGCAGTTTGAATAACGCCCTTGACTGCGAACTTAGGCAAACGTTCCAACTCCGTAAAAATGTGAGTCACTTTTACGCTGTCGAGAACGTTAAAAAATTCGCACTAAGCACACTGATCAAAATACGAACGCGAAGTAAAAACGACGCAAAAAAATAACACTCGAGCAATTAAATCTGTTGTGAAGTGAATATTTATTCATTTACAACGATTAATTCAAATTAGCCGGTCTGTCGGAACCTTTACTTTATTTTCTTGTAACTATTTATAATCTACACAGAATAAAGTTATATTGTTGATTGAATATTATTTCTAAGCCGCGTGAGGGAAGTACACAATGTTTGTGGGAGCATTTTTAAGTTTTTTATTTCTTATGCGGGTAGACGATCTCACGGCCCGCCTCGTGTTTAGTGGTTACCGGAGCCCATAGACATCTACAACGTAAACGCCTCCATCCACCTCGAGACATGAGTTGTAAGATGTCAGTTACAGTACAACGGCTACCCCACCCTTCAAACTGAAACGCATTACGGCTTCAGTGCAGAAATAGGTAGGGTTGTGTTACCTACCCGTGCGGACTCACAAGACATCCTACCACCTGTAGTAGCATAATAGATGTTAATTTTGATAATCATTGATATCGTTACTTAACGCAACCTATCACTGAAGATACGTATTGGGCGTGGCGGAACACACGCTGGAGGTCTGCCCCACATGAGAGGCAATACCAATGTTTGCGAGAGGCAAACTTTGTAAACCCCATCGTCCGGAAGTCACGGTGGCCGTGGTGCCATCAAGCAAAGGTTCGGCGGGAAATGATGGCCACAGGTGCTGCCCAGTAAACGCATCATCTTGCCTTCTATTCAACCAGTCTCATCAGAGACTGTGATGTGAGTTTGAGGGCGATATCAGTATTTAGTTCGTTCGATTCCGACACGCCCCACCTATTGCCACAAAGAGTAGGCGAAAAACCAGAGATTTCAATAAATACATAATCTAATGCAAACCAGTCGATTTCTTGTCTTTTTTTATATTTTTATTGCTTAAGTTGGGTGGGCGAGCTCACAGCCCACCTGGTGTTAAGTGCTTACTGGAGCCCATAGACATCTACAACCCACCTTGAGATATACGTTCTAAGGCCTCAGTATAGTTACAACGGCTGGCCCACCCTTCAAACCGAGACGCATTACTGCTTCACAGCAGAAATAACCCGTGCGGACTCACAAGAGGTCTTACCATCAGTAACCACCGTTGTCTTAATGTTACTTATTGTTGAAAACCATGGATTTTACAACCTAAATTTACGTTTACCTAACACCAGGCATGAAATATGAGACGGTCTGCCAACAAAATTTTATCTAGATAATAAATTACAATAATTATCAAAAATGTTTTGTTTATACAGAGATAGCAACGGCGTGCAAAAAAAAAAAGTTAATTCATTATTCTAGCACATTACATCATATATCACGAACAGTCTATTTGCTTAATAAGTCAGCATGGATATGTATCACCGACCTGATTATTTTTGTCGCAAAGGAGTCATGCAGTTTGAAGATTGGGATAGCTGTTTGTAAAATAATTATACTAGTCAACAACGAATTCACTCAATATAGGTGGCGGTATTTAAGTATTGATGTCGATGTGATACTGTAACTATAAAATGGCAACAAAAAACAAAAAGTGTGAGCTATCATACTCTCAAAACATTATTTATTTGCTTAAAATATAGTACTGATATATTGTTGTAGCTAGATTATTTTTTATATCTTTCTTACGATTGAACCTCGTTAAGCTGTGGTCAGTTCCGCCAACGATGTATGAAAAATATTCTCTTATATATTCTAAAACTATTCTATAAAACATACAATATAAAGATACAATAATTACGACGGCAATGAAATGAAGTAATTAGCGAAATAGATCAAAATTCTAGATATTCCGCCATATACGCGACAATTAATTTTTAGATTAAATTCAAAATCGAATAGAGGGAGGGTATTTAAATGAATAAATATTTTCAAGCATGAAGGGTCTTAATATATGCAATATGAGCAGAAAAGAATTGATTTCCTAAGCAAGTCATAAATACATATTGCCATTTAGTACGTTTTTTTATTTTATTTATTTTTTATTGTTTAAATGGGTAGAGGAGCTCACATCCCACCTGGTGTTAAGTGGTTACTGGAGCCCATAGACATCTACAACGTAAATGCGCCACCCACCTTGAGATGTAAGTTCTAAAGTCTTAACGTCAGGTTACAACGGCTGCCCCACACTTCAAACCGAAACGCATTACTGCATTCACGGCAGAAATAGGCGGGGCGGTGGTACCTACCCGTGCGAACTCATAAGAGGTCCTACCATCAGTAATTACGCAAATTATATTTTGCGGGTTTGATTTTTATTACACGATGTTATTCCTACGCCGTGGAAGTCAATCGTGAGCATTTGTTAAGTACCTATTTCATTAGAAAAATTGGTACTCGCCGACGGGATCCGAACACAGTTGCATCGCTAGATACGAATGCACCGGACGTCTTATCCTTTAGGCAACGACGACTTCAAGGAGAGGAAGAGGCGCAATGGAGGGTGAAAGCTGCGTCAGATGAGACTACTGACTTCATCTATCCCCTGGTTTTTTATTGTTATACATCGCGTGGACCGTCATAAAATGTAAACGTTAAAATATTTTATGCGTTTAATACGTCAAAAGCAGCAAATATAAAACTTATAAATTTATACAATTTTGTAGATAAAATTGACGATTCGCGTTAAAGCACAATATTAGTTTTAACACTTAGTTTCCAGGTAACAAACACAGATTTGAAAATGTTTCATAAAAAGAAATAATCACAGAGCTAACTGAAATACAAATTCCTATTAATCATAACCTATGCTACGTAATTATTTACATGATGAATCCTATTGCTGGTTATACCGAATTAACTAATGGAATATTAATAAAAAAAAAGCTTACTTATTGGCTTGCGTATGGAGCACACGTGATAAAAATTTAATACTTTACACAAACTGGTAAAAAATCTGGAAGTCATTTTGGAAATAATATAAAATCGAACACCTACCGTCATCCAGGTCGGAATAAAAGTCTGTAGTAACGAAAAAATTATAAACACTAAAGATTTTTAGACTTGCAAAACGAATTTCAATTCACTAGAAATTTATAATAGAAAAATTGTGTTACTCGTAAGACTTGCGCACGCGCGACCGAACTATGGCGATATGTACACCTGCTATGAGAATACTTTACGTGTATACCAACCGTTATAACACTAACCGCAGACCACCAGCGTTTTGGTTAAACGGCTGTATCCACGAGAGATCACATCTGTTGGTTACCTGTTGAGAAAAGTGTGACGTCGACCGACCTTGCGATAATGTGGTCACAGTTTATATTGCTTTTGGATGTTTTTTTTCTCTTCGCTTCTTTAGAGGCAAATGAATTGTTATTATAACGATTCACGTGATACATTCAAAAATAAAACCAATAATGTTTTTACCAGAGGATTATGGTGTGCGGACTATTTGATTTGGTATTGAACTAAAATGAATATGATAAATACGTACATAATTAATGCAATGCTGATATTAAATGAAAATTGATAGTGTATAGTGTTAATACTGTCACTGTTAATAACATTTGCTACATTTACGTAGCAGAATCTATAATTTTTTATGAAACTATTATTCAGGCAATCGTGTAGACTATTGAACGCACGGATAGGTACATTTTGTCAGCCTGTAAGAGTGTTAGAACGAAATGCTTGAAGAATCGTTTTTGTAATAACTGTCTTAATTAAAACATATTTAAAGTTTAATCTCGCGTCGACGATCGGTCACTCGTCGTGAATACAAATACTGTGAATCATTCCGTCACACATCATCTTCTTCACAACATCTTCCCTACCTATTCGGTGTTAGCCTAACTAGCTGGGAGCCAGCTACGTCCGGACGGGTAGGTGAGCTCACGGGCTCAACCTAAGAGAATTTGCTAACACTAGCCTAGCAAGAGCAGTGCTTCGCAAAATCTACCACCGCATCGGAATCACGACCTACTGAGAAGATCCGGCGAGAAATTCAGTGGGCTATCATTCCATCGGAAGTAATAAATACAATGACAACAAAAAATGCGAGACTAAACCGTACATAGTTTTAATTATGTCCACGGATCGCGGTAACCCAAAAATTATAATATTTCTTTTGCCGTTCGTTCCCTTAGTATTATTTCCGACAGAAAATATCTCTAATAAAAGTCGGCCTAACATATTCATTTCTCGGTTTCCGTTCATACTCGTAAAATAAGAAACTTATTTAGAATTATTTTCGGTGTGTCTCTGTGTGATACTATAACTTTGATTTACTAATAAAATGTGTTTGCTGGAAGTTTGATAATATAAACGAAATCTATTAAATAATTAAGCAAAGGGATGTAGCAGTGGTGTGTATACATAGACAATCCAGGAGGAAGCAAAGGATTAGATTTGAACGGCCTAAATGCAGCCTACGTTGCTTACATGATAATTATGTTATAATACTTCTAGATTGATGAAGGATTTTATGACCCACCTCGTATTTAGTGAACGCCGTTCGCACATTGAGACATGAGGTTTAAGACCCAAGGTCCTTCTATATTGGCTGCCCCACCCTTCGATCTGGAACGCATGATCTCTTCGCGGCAGCTACACGATGTATCGTAATATTATTATCGCCCCAAAAAAACATTGATCAATCGTCCCGTCCCAGCACTAAGCACAGCCCTATCGTATTACTGCATCACTATCATCCCTGAATGTCATGTATGCAATTCGTTGGTGTATTTAATAAAATGAACAAGATAACTAAATCGATTCATAGCTGACTGCCAAGCAATCATTTGGTCGTCATCGAGGGCAGATGCAGGTACGTTTTTATATCTCTATTTGTTCTAGCTCAAATGGTTCTTGTACGGACCTCAACACTGACTGGCCAGTTACAGCTGATGAGTTTTTTGGATAGCTGGGTATCCGACACCCAGCTATCCTATAAGCATAATGGTACTATCCACTTAGAGAACAGGGTAGTTCATACCCTATAACGGTTTAGCTGTGTCGAGGCCTAAGATACCATCACCATATCTCGTAAAAGTCGACTAAGAGATTCACAGGAGAATAGTCACAAGGTTTTCTGAACATTAAACCGGCGTACTATGATCACAAACCGGCACTTAGTGGTAGATAGCGTATTATCAACCTGCGTGGAGGGTACCAGTGTGCTTAGTGCGAGTTTTTTAACGTTCTCGATATCGTAAAAGTAACTCAAATTTGTACGGAGTTGGAACGTTTACTTACGTTTGCCGCTAGGGGTGCTATTCCAACTAAATACAAATTTGAGTTTTCTTTTATTGCTTAGATGGGTGGACGAGCTCACAGCCCACCCGGTGTTAAGTGGTTACTGGAGCCCATAGACATCTACAACGTAAATGCGCTACCCACCTTGAGATATAAGTTCTAAGATTTTAGTAGAGTTACACCGTCTTCAACCCGAAACGCATTACTGCTTCGCGGCAGAAATAGCCAGGATGGTGGTACCTACCCGAGCGGACTCACAAGAGGTCCTACCACCAGTAAGAAAGAAAAAAAATGGAGTTAACTTTTACGTTATGGAGAACGTTAAAAAACTCGCACTACGCATACAGGATCCTGCCTATATTTCTTATTATTTAGTGTTCAACAATCTCACAGCCTTCTTGGTGTTAAGTGGATACCGGAGTCTCCCTACCGGAGGTTACCTTGAGACTCGAGATCTCAGTCCTATACAACGGCTGTTTGGCCTTTCAAAGCGGAACGCATTACGGTTTTGCGGCAGAAATAGACGGGGCTGTGGTACCTACTTGTTCGGGCCAAACCAATAGTATAGCCACAGCCATATATTTTAAAGTGTACTTTCCTTCATCAAGCAAAGCAAGGTTTGCTTGTTTTAAACAAATTAAACAGTTCTTTGTGATCGGCGAATCGAGTTGACCCTTATAACTATAAAGCAGACTTTAGAGGCAGGCCTGCTTTATTGCTTGCCTCTGGCGGTTTAATAAAAATACAGCCAACAGATATCCATCCTTTAATATGCAGGTTCCGTACAAATATTCGTTTATTTAGATTAAAAAAAAGTAGATATTGATTACTATTTGACTATCATACCTACTGCTAGTGACCTGATGGGTTATACTGGCTTCACAGAACGTGTAGTGGAGCTCATGGGGCTCAGCCTGGGTGACTTTTCTAACAGGCCTTAGAATAGCAGACTGGCTTACCAACTATTTAAGAAAACTTATTTTCTAAATGTTGTTAGCACGATCGAGGTTTTCTCCGGGTACCTTCTATTCTATTGTTGTTGCTACTAGAATGTAGATGTTTTTTACCAACAAACGAAAATGGTTTACGGTACTACCTAATCGTGAGTTTGTCTAATAACTCTTTGTCAATGGTAGGAGAGGGGTATAGTCCAGCTACTGATATATTTAATCTTTGTAAGTCTGAAGTTGAGTTGTAGTAATAATTCAATTGTACCCCAGGATTCAAATTCCAGTGTGCAGCCGTAGTGTTTGGAATATTGGTGTTTTTTTTGCCCTTGTAGGCAGACTAGCATACGGTCCACCTGATGATGAGTGGTTACCGTCGTCCATGGACTTCCGCAATGCCAGGGGCGGAGCCAAGCCTCTGCCTACAAAAAAGAGAAGTGTTTTTAAAAAGCCTGCAAAAGCATAAAAGAGAATGCGGTTCGTTGAAAAATGGGTTCGTATCAAATAAGTTCACTAAGTCGAAATACCGTTGAGACTTGAACCGCATGTTTCTATGGGTTTCAGTAAACACATAACGTAAGGCTAGGTGGTGCGATGACCTCCGAAAATTGGCCGGCAAGAAGTGGATAAGGAGAACCGTAGACCGGGCTCAGTGGTGTGGGTTGGGAGGGGCCTATGTCTAGCAGTGGACGACTGTGGGCTGTTGATGATGATGATGATGATGTAAGGCTAGTTGTGAGCTCATTCACCCAATAAGACAATAAAAAAATTAATATCATTAGTCAGAATTGCGTTTCAAGATCAGCAGGGTTTGTCTAATTTTCTATCACACTCGGGTACCCTAAATTGTTATGCGACTACACCAGATGTCGCGTATTGATATCAAATGACCTTTCCTAGCGTATGTACCTTGAAGAAGAAATTCTCATATCCGAAAGCAAAAGGTCACAACGTTGAGCGAACAAAACCTCTTATTGCAATAGTTTCATAGTGAACTTTTATTTCGTTTAAAATAAAACATGTTGCCATGTAGTTGGTGAGTGTATCGTCTACCCGATTGTAAGCGGTCAGAATCTCTGTGATATATCAACAATGCTAGAAGCAGAGCCAAGTTTTTACTTTCGCTGGGGATTCTTGTCAAGGTTTGTGATGTTTGAAGGAGGAAACGCACGAGGGAAATGCATGGAGGGGCCTCAATTACAGAGCCGATGGAACACGCCAAAAATTATCTCTGAAAACATTGTATTTGATTGTACTCCATAAATTGTTTTGACGAAATAAATTACTTTTACTGGTGGTAGGACGTCTTGTGATTCCGCACGGGTAGGTACCATCACCCTGCTTATTTCTGCCGTGAAGTAGTAATGCGTTTCGGTTTGAACGGTGGGGCAGCCGTTGTAACTATACTTGAGACCTTAAAACTAATATCTCAAGGTGGGTGGTGCGTTTACGTCGTAGATGTCTATCGACTTCAGTAACCACTTAACACAGGTGGGCTGTGAGCTCGTCTACCCATCTAAGCAATAATAAAAAAAAAACGTACAAGAACATTCGGACCGTATTAATTTTTTTTTTGTTTTTTGTTTTTTATTGCTTAGATGGGTGGACGAGCTCACAGCCCACCTGTGTTAAGTGGTTACTGGAGCCCATAGACATCCACAACGTAAATGCGCCACCCACCTTGAGATACAAGTTCTAAGGTCTCAAGTATAGTTACAACGGCTGCCCCACCGTATCTACCGAGCAGTAGCACACCCGCTCGGTGGAAGATCTTCCTTATGACGCTTTCATCAAATAATCGTTTGCTGGCACTTCACCATAAATGTCAGCGAAAGATACACGTGTAATTTCAACATCTTGGTTTCATCAACATTTTGTTTTATCTTTTTGATAAAAGCCGCGAAGCGTGGCATTTGCTCGCTGATCTTAAACTATTCTTAGGAAATCATTTGAACGAT